CACACACACACACAGAGTATGTGTGTGTGTGTGTGTGTGTGTGTGTGTGTGTATTTTTTTAAAAAAGATTTAAAAAGAGGAAAGGTGCAGAGTTAGAAAAATAAATCCCTGCACCAGAAAGCTGGTCTGCTGAGGGAAGATAATCTAATCCAATAGACCCAGAACCCTGTTTCAATAGCATCTTGTGAATTGGTCTTGAACTGTGGTCTACTGAGTGGGCCAGGAACCAGCAGGCATAACTAGGACCATTGGGAATGTCAGCAACAGGAAGAAAGGGGAGGGATTTGGGTTAGCTATTGTCACAGTTCTGCTCCATAGGAACAATGCATTTGGCAAAAGCACTATCACTGTGCCACTCCTGTCAATGTTCACCAATGTAGGTGAGATGAACCAGGAAGCGGCAACAGGATGCTGACTGTCTAGAGGAAGAAACGGAGCCACCATCCCAGGGAGTTGACAGCAGCAAGCCAGCCACTGCTGGGCTTAGTCACTTTGTCTTACTGAATGGATGTGGAGTACATTCATACATTTTCCAACCCTTCCCTGTTCTCCCAGCACTTACATACATCTCATAGATCCCAAGCAACCTAATACACATCCCCATAGTCTCAGGACCTTTCCAGTCCATCAGTTTATACCACAGTAAACAAATAGTTGATGCAATGCAAAGGATCACAAGGGCTTTCTTCCAGGGTGGGCTTCCTTACCTTCACAAGACACTCTGTCCACAGTGAGCCGGTAGCCTGGATGACAGCTGCACATAAAACTCCCCAGTGTATTGTGGCAGGAGTGGTGGCAGGTTCGCTTCTCACTGGGTCGGCGGCATTCATTCACATCTGCACCAGATGCACAGGGCGCTAGAGGCTTACCGCACAGCTAGGTCAGCTCAAGCTTGTGGCTGTACAGATATTCCTGCTGCTTAGCCATCAAGGGCCAGAAAGCATGAGACTCACGGCACATTATGAAACACATATTTACTAGCTATGCAGCAGATAGCATACAGATAGTGAATAACTGTGGGCTCTCTTTTACTTTTCTTAATTCTTCCTTAGGAATGGGAAGTGAATCTTCTGAGATCTGTGGACTTACAGTGGACTGTAGGAACAAAGAAACAACCTTTGCTTTGATCACTGTAGCATCAGAACAACCAAGGTACAATAAAGGGGGGGGGAGGGGAAGAGAAAGGGTCTGGGTTAATGTCAAAGGAGAGAACGTGGGAAGAGGGTTGAAGGCATGCCTGCATGCCAATGCCTGGAAAGCAAAGGAAAAGACCAAGGGCAAGTGAGGAGGGAGCAAACCCTAAAAGGAAAAGGCAGGCACTGGTAAGCTAGCCCACAGAAAGGCCAGACAACGGGGCTTGCCTACTCTGCAGGGCAGGGCAGGGCAGGGCAGGGCAAAAAGTAGGGAAACAAGCAATCTGCTCCTGCAGTGGTCCCAGCAGTCCAGACCCAGCACCAAGCCAGCCCTGTTGCCAACCCACTGCAATCCAGACTGGAATGTTTAAAATCAGCTTCAGAGACAGCCAGGAACAGCACAAGAGAAAAAAAAGCTAAGGCTGCCATGTGGAATTGCCCATGTACGTTGTTGTAGCCAAAACCTGACTCATCTAAAGCAACCAAATCACTCTGAAGATACAACATAATTTTATTAGCATGCAAACAATAAAACGGTGTACACTGAGCTCCCAGAAAAGCATTGGCAGCTTCCTGGGCAGCCCTGAGCAAAAGCAGAAGCAGAACTTCTATGCTTTTGGCCTACTACATTGCAAAGAAAAGAAAAAGGCAGACGCAGTGAAAATTACAGCATGACGTTGGAATGTTTTTGATAAACCTGTCTGGGTGACCGTATTATTATTGATCCCTTCCTACTAAGTCAGCATGTTAGCCACACTATCTCTGAGATATGATCAGTGACTAGAAACAACATTGAGCAGAAAAACTTTTCCATCATTATTTCTCAATTATGGGAAAATATCTCTGCTGAGTTTAAATATGTGACACTGTCGGGAATGCTACTAAGAAGAAGGGACATGAAGAGACATCAACCCATTTTCAAATGTGCAGTTTTAGGTCACCCAAATAGCTGCTGTCACTCTGACTTGCAGCAGGCAAACCAAACTGCAGCCTCCTCATGTCTCAGTCGAAACAGGCTGTTCCCTAAAGCAATGATGATAACACTACCTGCCCAGACCACATTTCTGAAATGAAAGGAAATAAATCCTTCAAATGATTCAGTTCCAAGTTGTTCTCCAGAGAGCTATAGCTGTTACTGTTCATAGAGCTTTTAGGCTAGGATAATCCACTCGTTTTAGAAGAAAGGGCTCCCCAACAAAAGCAGGCTCACTCACCCATGCAGGAATGTCGGTTGCCATGCAGGTAGAACCCAGGGTGGCAGGAACATTGATAGCTGCCGATACTGTTTTGGCACTGCTGCTGGCAGGGTGTTGCTAGGCACTCATCAGTATCTGGGATCAAGATGGTCAATACCATTGGCTCATGACAATCCATCCTACCAAAGTTCCTTCTGCAATTTCTTAAAAATCTTCCTCTAGACCTCCCTTCCTGCATCCCAGTCTGACCCACCTTGACAACTGTGCCGGTCAGCAGCAAGTTGCATCCCTGGGCCACATTCACACACAAAGCCCCCTTCTGTGTTCACACAAAGCCCCTCACAGGAAGCACTCAGGCACTCATCAATGTCTGCAGAAGAGAGATTTGTGTGGGTTAACAAACATGAAGGCAGGAGAAGAGACCAGAAGACAAAATGGAGACCATTTCATGCTAAATGGTCATAGCTGAAGAATAAGACATCTCTTCGTCTGTGACAGCAATACATTTAAGGACATTCCCCCCATCCCTCCCCAGATCTGCAGAATCAGTGGGAAACCTATTATTCATTCATATGGGACAGAACCAACAGCATACAGATGGCAGGATCTGTCTCTCTCCCTTCTGGTGTAAACCAAACTTCTGTGCCACACAGAAAGAGAGAGTATCAGTCCTGCTTGTTAAACACAGAGCTAGAGCTTTTTTCAACAGAGTGCTGAACCTATATTTTAAAAGAGTGCTCTTTGTAAAGAGTTATGCATACAAGTCACCCGTGTAGTGATTGACCAGTGCTATAGGCAGATGCCTCTGTGGAAATCAGATGTCCAGTCTTTCTTCAGAGAGGCCAACATGGCCAGGGAGGACACTACTGAGTGACCAGAAGGGTGGGCATATATCCACAGTAGCCTAAAATGGCCATCAGGGGCTAGGCACAACAGAGAGGTGGGCGTGACTGAGAAGTTGAAAAAATATTTCAGAAGAAGGCAGCGCAAGCCACATCCATACTCTCATGTCCATGATGTCAGCAGTTCAGCTTCACTTGAAGAAGAGATTCCTTTTACTTTTTGATTTGTACAGAATCATTCTAGAACACTGAACCCCATCATCACACCTTTTCACCTTAGCACAGCCTCGGTATTATTATTTTGGCCAGCACTGTTGTTGCATTTTTGTGTGTGTCTACAGAGAGTTTAAGTGAAAAAGAGTTGTAGCACAATTCATTTTTTTAAAAAACTTATTAAACGAAATAAACATGCCACTGATGAAATGCCAAACCCAGATACATTATCTTTCCCCCACCGTCATAACTGTTATGCTCAAAAATACAGTGCATGTAAAGGCATTGAAATGCTAGATCTGCCAATATGTATTACAATTATTGATCCAGCTTTTGATGAAGGGGCAGGCAACCATCTGGACAAGGGTGGCCCTTTTCCTTTCCTCTTTTCTTTCCTTTCCCTTTTTTTCCCCAGGGAGGGCTCTTAGGTATGTAAAAGTCATGTGGCGTATGATATTAACAGAATGATTAGAGCTGAAAATTTTGGCCCTTTTTGTGACTTGTTTCTCATTTGGCGGGGGGGGGGGAATTGGAAAAAAAAATGCTGATACCAGATTTCAGCAGCAGGATCTGGGGATGCTCTAGAGCCACAGAAGTGGAGCTGTATGGCCAGATGTTGACCAATCTTGCTATAGCAAAAGACCAATGACTTGCTCAGTTTAAAAGTCTGAAAACTCCCTGTGAGCCTGGAAGTTGTGTTGAAGGTCCATTTCTCCTGATTCCCAGGGAGAGAGTTACCCCATCTTCTGGCTTACCCACACAACGTACACCATTAGCTGTCTCAGTCATAGAGAATCCCAGTGGGCACACCCTTGCCACCTCCTGGCAGCCCCCATGATTGCAGGTGAGGTCACAGCCATATTCCCCACAGACTCCAGGGGGGTCTGTAAAAAAACAAGACGGGACAGTTTCACAGAGAGGTTTCAAATAGGGGAAATCTGTAAGGTAATAAGAATGCAAGGACCGTGAGATAGGGGAGAGGTAGAGACAAGCATCCCCAACTTAGTGCTGTGTGAGCAGAAATGTCTGAGCCGGAGTCTTTAGGTCAAATAGGGCTGCAGAAACCAGAATAATGACTAGATGGTAGCAAAGAGGGTTTTCTGTTATCGTTTTATTTTTATTTTTTTATTTATTAAATTTTTCAACCACCCATCTCCCCCAATGTTTCCCCAGTCAGTTCATACTACAGATGATCTCGTCCTCTCAGAAAACTGCTCCACATTTCCCTGTCTTTTTTCAATGCTGTCAGCTGAGTTTTTGCCTAGTACAGTTCTCCTTTTATAGGGCTATAATGATGGGAGGAACTGCATCCCAGGAGAGTTTTTGTTATTAGAAAAAGACTTATAAGTCAAAGATGGAATGGAATGGAATGGAAGTTTGCAATCCACTCCACAGGCTCTCTCTTATGGCTCCCAGACTATATACACTAAACCCACAAATCAAAGATCTCATCTTGTGGGTACCAGGCAGGCCCTCCACAGGAATCCTGTGTCCTGCTGCAAACAGTATTGCTGGTAGCATTTCTGGAAGTTCAGCTTACCTTGACAGGTGACACCTTGCCTTCCATCCCTGCAGGCGCAGACATTGGGAGCTATGCAGAAACCGCTGCCACAGCCAAAGGAACAGAGTGCTGTCAGGAGGGCCAAGAAAACATTAGACTCGGCAAGAATTTTATATGCATGTATGTATTTGTGTGTGTGTGTGTGTGTGTGTGTGTGTGTGTAGAAATGCAGATAGAATGGCTATGGTGAGGGATGCTGGAAATAATCGTTCAGAAATATTTGGAGGACTGCCGTTTTCTAGCTCTAACGTAAGTAACACTTTACACAGACTATCCATACAGTAGTTGTAAAATTAGAGTTCCCAGGATCAGCTGGGAGAAGGAAATGCCCTAAAGGCAAACAAATCCTGTAAGCTGAGCTTCAGAGCTAAGTTCTTCACTGCAGTGCAACCACCTATAGCATGGAGGGACACTGTTCCTACTTGCCTCCTAATGGGCTGCTTTGGCCACTGATCATATCAGTTGCGGTGCTATCTGCTGCTGCTGTTCCCTGTCTGTCCTCCTTTGGAACCCCTTGTGTGTTCTCACAAGAGTATGATAACCTTTGCAGCAAGTCTTTAATGAACATCAGTTTGCTAACAAGGCTTAAAAGTAATAATAAGGCTGTGCTGGCTGATTCTTCCAGAGGTTCTAGGAGCTTACGCAAGGTGCACTGTCCGCTCCCTGGAGATGGTATCCATCCAGGACAGCATCCACTTCCAAAACCAGAGAGACAAACATGTGGTCCAATGCGACGCCTGAAAGAGGATGAAAGAGACAGTTTGAGATCCTTCCTTCCTTCCCCCCTCCCTCCCTCCCGTTTTTTGTTTGTTTGTGCACAGCTGGCAAAGTAATTGAGAACGTATGCAGAAAGAGATTTAAATACTGTGGAAAAAGCACAAACTGCAGCCTGACTTGCAACTGTTTAATTCAGCCATGGAGCTTCTCAAGCTGGCAACATAGGGTTGGCACCAAGCAAAATATAACAGCATGTTGGAGCAAAAACTCAACTGATGCTGCGTTTAAGGGACAGAGAAACTATTTGGAGGAGAGGTACAGTGGGTCAAATTGCACCAAGAATCCATTCTTCCTGGGCAGCAGGGAACACAGACTTGCAGAAGTTATCAATTTAATGGTTTATAGTAGCTAGATTTGGGGGCTGTCCAAAACATTTTGCTGCCAGAATTAGAACAAAAGATGGTGTCCTGTCCAGCCCAGTCAGAGAAGCACAGTAGCCAAAGCCAGACAAGTGGCTTTGACACAAGAGGGACAACATCATAAGCATCTCTCCTCATTCTGGGTAGTAAGATTTTAAGTAACAAGTAAATGACACTTCAACACAGCCACCAGCCTCACCCTTCTTACTCTCTGTTGCCATTTTGGCTGCTGTGCAAGTGTCTGCTCTCTTGGGCGACAGAGGATGAGGACAGGGAAAGAAAAGGACAGAAAGGCTGGGGGAGCAAACAAAACAGTGTTCCAGCAAGGACCCCATCTCATCACTCTCTGACTGCATTTGCAGCATGCATAAAAAAAGACAATTATGCGGGGGTGGGGACATACAGGAAAGCAGCTGCCCTTTTGATCATAGTGAAAGAACAGGGGTTGAATGTAAGGCCTTATGGTGCTTTGGCTTCAGAAGAAGGAGGAGGAAATCCAGGAGAAGAGATAAGGCTGGAATTGCTGCCAATACAAAACTTCCCACCCTACAGCACCAGAATAAACACTACAAACTGTCTTCACCAAGTTCCCACTGGAGCAAGAGCTAAGCTGGAAGTTAATCAGTTTAGTGCCGAAGAGGTGGGAAAATCCAGCAGCATGATGGGGACTCGGGCATATGCTTTTTAGTGGCCTGGCTTGGCTGCTGCTGGGCTGGCATGAGTCCAAAAATGGAGATAGAGGAGGGGAGAAGAAACTCATTTCTAGCCTTGAAGTGCAGCTGCGCTGTCATGCGGGCTGATGAGTGACCTGGCTGCTAGCCAGGGCTGTTGTGGGGAGACATTGAGACAGCAGTCCTATTGGTCCAGCCTGGTATATAGGTGTTGGGGACTAAAGCCCTGGGGGGACACCTACCTCCTCAGTTCCTGGGGGACATGCTGCCAGTCTGACCCAAAATTGGAGAGAAATGGAGAGGAGAGAAAAAGACTGTGTAAAACAGAGTGGCTGGAGGGAAAAAGTGAAGATATGTGAGTGTGCCGAGCAGTTGTCAGTTCTCAGATGGGGAGGGAGAATAAAGTCCACAGGTGGCTTCCCTGGAGGAAGGGAAATCCCAGAGAGATGACATCTTCACACATAAGATCCAAGATGGGAAGAAGGGAGACAGCTGTCGTTGGCAAAGCCCTGGTCTCTGGGGAACGATTGGTCAGAAGATCCTGAAAGAGATTCTTTCCGCCAGTGGAGGAGAAGGTGATTAGCTGAGTGGAACCAGGAAGAGTCAAGCCACACTGAGCACACAAGTAGTAAATCCAGCACATTCTTTTCTTGTTTCTCTGGGTCAATTGCTATCTTTGCAAACCTAAATACACCTCCAGTTCTAAAAGAACACACCGTGACAGGGACACAGAGGTATGGATGTTGATCAGAGATTGTCACAGCCCTTGCATGTGGGTGATGCCTGAGGGCAGAGAAGTCACTCACTGAAGCCTAATGGTTATTTTGCTCATTGCAGAGGCTCAGTAGGACAATCTTGGTGCATAGAATAGTGATGCAAACGTTCCCTGTCGCTAGGTTCAGGCTGCTCATGAGCTAAAGAAAGGTGCTGTGATAGGCTTGCAGCATAAAGTTTCCCTTCTGACACAAAAGAGAATGGAGCACCCACCTTACAAATTGCATTGGTAAGATAAGACAAGACTCCTGAAACAAAAGAGGACTTGGGTTATATGGTGGTGCAAGGAAGAAAAAGCTATGCCAGAACACACGGTATGGATAATCATAGCAGTAGTTCTTTTTTTGAGACTATAATAATTAATTATCATTACTAACATGGCTTCATGTATCCCTTTCCGCTTTTCATATGAACTGAAGCACATCTATAGTAACAAGTTGCTTAAATCTGCCACAAGCTCAGAAACATGAGATCAGTTGGCATCCTGAAACCAGGACATGCAGTGAAGGAAACCCACCATTGCTCCCTCCCTCCATCTTGCCCCCAAGCACAGTCCCTCAGTTGCACAGCCAACTTTTCTCCCCGTTTTGGCACACTGGTTTAAGTGGACACTCAGTCCTGTCCTGCCGCCTTGGACTGCACAACCCTCGACGGCTTGCTCATCTACACCTTTCAGAGAGGAGGCTGCTAGAGAGGACTCTGCCAAGCTGGAGAGGGCACGGCCGACAGAGACACCGAGAAGTAAATGCATCCTGAGGGAGTGAAGGAAGGAAGGAAGGAGAGAGCCAATTCCTGTTCCTCCGGGCAAGCGCCGCCGTCTCCCTGCACGCGCACCGACGCTGCCAGAGAAGGCACCGACTACCTATCGCGCCGCCTCCTCCCGCTGCACTCGCCCTGAAAGAACTGGAAGCTCTGCCCAGCTCGTGGCGCGGGGGCGGGGGGGCGAGGAGGCGCCGTTCGCCCGTTCCCCAGCCAGACTC